CAAGATCCTTCTGTATGCTTGTCTGTTTAGTAAATAAAACTAAGATTGTGTAAAAAAAAAGAATAGACTATGATAGAAAGCTGTAACAGTTTTGTTTCAAGAAATCCTTTCATCATTGTTTCCTCTCCCCTCTTGTAAATTAAGTTAGTTGTTACATCCTACTAGAGTGAAATTCTCAAATTAATATATTGTACTTGATAGAAATAGTGCGAGAAAATTTTGAATTTTATCTGTAAGATAAATTCTCCTTGACAGTCCTCTCTCTGCTTTGGATCAACTCATGTCTAGTGGTTATAAAACTATACGGTTATGGTTGGTTGAGGCAAGTTATCAGTGAGTAGGGGGTCTCCTCCATAATGGAAAAGTTGCGAGCTTGAACATCATGAGAGGATAATTAAATTATAACATACAGCTATTGGTATTTTCTCCTTTCAATGTACTTGATGTGTAATTATGAAGCTTAAGAATTTTGTAATCTTATCATGGATCTTGTTTATGGACTTTTACTAGTTGATATAGTTCACATTTGGTAGTCACACATAAGATTAATCACATTCTCTAGAAAACGATATGTGTATAATGTTAATGGTAGCCATTTTACGAAACCGACATCCGACTTGCTTTCAATAGTACTCAAAGTAAGTTAGCTTGTTTTTCCTTCTAGAGTTGGTTCCCGTTTCAAATCAACTCTACGTCTTCCCATGTTTCAGGCCGAATTACTTGATCCTGCTGTTAAGGGAACACTCAACCTTCTCGGTTCATGTGCCAAAGCACCATCAGTAAAACGAGTTGTTTTAACCTCTTCCATAGCTGCAGTTGCTTATAGTGGTCAGCCTCGGACACCTGAGGTTGTGGTTGATGAGAGCTGGTGGACCAGTCCAGACTACTGCAAAGAAAAACAGGTGTGCATATATTTTTCTCTTTTTTCTTTTTGAGCACATTCAAAGACAAATGAAGGTATTACCCATAGAAATAGCTAGTATTGAGCTATTCCTCTGGCTAGTCTTACCATTACTGTATGTGTTATAATATTTGTGGTCAACGTCAGTCTTGACAAATTGAAGTGTAATACTGTAGCATAAATGTGGGAACTCGGGGGCTAGGGATCTACAAAAGTTTTAAAATAGGAGCCGGAGATGTTACCTAAAACATTTGTAACAAAATATACTCTGTATAAGTGTCATCAAGATTTGTCATGAATTAGATGCACTTTGCTTAAAGTTACGTTTATCATGGTTTGGTTTTGGTATGGATGTAAGAAGGACCAGACACATTTCTCTTATTTTAAGGTCAACAAGAGCTCATTAACCGTGGTTCTTGACAACATGACTAGCTGATCCAATTTAAAGAATTTCCTAGTGCTTTTAGTCACTGCACTATTTCTTATTAATATCATAAGTTTCTATTTTTGCAGTTATGTCAACTTAAGTTTTTGATAATTTCTTACTTTTAGGTGTTCATCCAAGCACTTCCCTGGTTGGTGTAGAATTAGGAAGACACATTTTTTTTGGAGATGCGTGTTTTAAAGCTAGGCCGTTTCAGTAACTTTTCAAGTATAATGAATCATCTGATTTTTGTTGCTTATATCATCTGTTTTATATGTGATATTGATCAATTATGATTGAAAGCTATGATATTAGTTGCAATGTATCCTGTAAGTGGCCTTGTTTCTTTGCATGTGTAAATAAAGCACTCACATCCCATTTTTTCTTTCCTAGATTTCAATTGTTAACATCTCTCTATTTTCTCCTGTTTCCTTTTAGCTCTGGTATGTCCTCTCAAAGACTTTGGCTGAGGATGCTGCGTGGAAGTTTGTGAAGGAGAAAGGCATTGATATGGTTGTAGTAAACCCTGCTATGGTTATTGGTCCTTTGTTACAGCCTACACTTAATACCAGTTCTGCTGCAGTCTTGAGCTTGGTAAATGGTATGTTTTTAAACTTAAATTAGTTAGATCTTTACCTCAATTTGGTGTGGTCAAATGGCTTGAAAATGTTCAAATATAACAAATGGAATACCAAGGCCATGTGGAGTGCCAAGAAGGCAGAACATATATGCTGTAATATTTTTGTTTTTTGGTCAACATAAGTAGAAGAATACGTAGGCCACCATAATCAGCTCTAAGGAGAAGCTCATTTGCAAGGTCAAGGAAAAAAATCTGTCTTTATGGTCAACCTAGTTAGATTTCTCCAAATAATTTTACTAAACTAGATGGATCATCCTCCTAATATGAATATGACGAGAACATCCACTCTCTTATGGCATATAATAATGCGGTTAAATTTGAGAGTTATTCATCGAGTATACTGGGCCTGTTTGTCTTTTTGTTCTAGTTGAATGTTCTCCTGTTGCTTTGGCCTGAATGTGGAGGATACGTGGGTGTGGGGCTAGACAACAGGTGGGTGTTGGTAACTACAGTTAATGCAAAAGATGATGGTTGGGTGATATGCTTATTGAGCTAGAGGTGAAGTCACTCGTTAATGTTTTTCCCCTTTAAGCTAGAAGAGTTCTGAAGTAATTTACCTTTATAAGTTTAAATTTCAACCAAAGAATAAACTACACAGAACAATTGAGGTGGAGGATATAAATGATGAAAATGCATTAATAGGTCAGTAACTCGTGCTTTTTCTTTTTCCCTTTCCCTTTTTTCTTACGATATAATCTGTTTGACCATAAGGATGTCAACCATTCTTTTCATCATTTCAAATGTTCATTTTTCCATGCTATGTAGGTGCTGAGACATACCCAAATTCCTCTTTTGGGTGGGTTAACGTGAAAGATGTTGCAAATGCACATATTCTCGCATTTGAGAACCCTTCAGCTAATGGGAGATACTTAATGGTTGAGAGAGTTGCACACTATTCTGATATATTGAAGATATTGCGTGACCTTTATCCTACTATGCAACTTCCAGAAAAGTAAGTATTCATATAAAAAATAGGTCTGTTTTTTCTTGTGTTGGAACTTCTATATTGAGCTTTTATCACACAAATGTGCTATGTGGTTAGATGAATATGTTGATAGTGTTTTATGTTGAATGTGTAGATTCATTCTTGTTCACTTTGTGTGTGTGTGTGTGTGTGAGAGAGAGAGAGAGAGAGGAGTGCACAAGAGACGGTGGAAAAGTCTAGTGTTATTCTTAAAATGAAGGACAGGCAGTTTACTCTCAAATTTGATCTTAGTGTAATTTCAATCTCCCAATGTCACCTTAATATGATATGTTGCTTATCCACTCCGAGTCATTCATCGATTGAATGCTCTTTGATTTTATGCAACTTATATCCGAGGACTTGCAAATCACTAACTTGAACTAGACAATGCCCCCATAGATTTCCTTCCCTTTCTGGTGGTTGGACATGCATTGTAACCACAAGAAAACTTTATGTATGCCTAATTTAGTGTATTTTAAAGGTAACATAAAGGGGGAGGCTTTTTGCTGCAACCCGATTTCAGATTGAGACGAGGGACTCAGTGCCTTAACTTAATCAAGTGAACCTTCTTTGCTTATCTGTTCTTCCTTAATATGAGAAACCCACAATCCAATGCAGTTCTTAGAGAAAACTTAGAAGCAAGATGATAAAAATACTGAATAATTCTAAAGCTGTTCTTTCTTTCTTTCTTTTATGAACTTGTAATGCCTTATGCCATAATAAAGTCATTCTTATTTGACGACTCAGAGAACTTTAATTTGTTATCGTATCAGCCTAACTCGATATAGATAGGGAGTAATGATCGTTTGAAGTTGGTCCCTTGGTCCTAGTGCATACTCATTTGAATCTTTAGTTTATCGTTTAGTTTCCAACTTTACTTCGCCCTAGGATTCTCCTTAGACCCTAAATCACTTCAAACACATCTCGAATACTTGCTATCACGTCCAAGTGATATTGCACTAGTTTGTTATCCACCTTTGACATGCAAAACAACATTTTATGTATTCGTTATCACATTTATCGCTTCCAAACGAAATTCTTTGGGTCGCTACATTGTTGCTTGGGATTTTGTGAATATATATGATACTATTAGCTTTTCAATGAAATTGCTTGAACTGCATTCTTTCCAAAATAAACTATGTAGGTGTGCTGATGACAACCCATTGATGCAAAACTATCAAGTATCAAGGGAAAAGGCAAAAAGCTTGGGTGTTGAATTTACTACCCTTGAAGAAAGCATCAAAGAAACTGTGGAAAGTTTGAAGGAAAAGAAGTTTTTTGGAGGTTCATCTGCTATGTAAAAGGCTTCTCAAAGCTTTTATGGTTGTTACCAATAGTACCCTCCCCCCCTCCCCCTCACCCTCACCCCACACCACCCTACACACTTCTTTTTTCTTCTACTTTTGGCTAATTTTTTTAGAATTGAGAAGTCGAATGATATATCCGTTAATAAATTTCGGTCAGATGAGGTTGAAATTTGTTAGTTTCTATAGCTAGAGATTTTCATAGACTGGTTTGATAGAAGAAATTAGAACACCATTGTTGTGTTTTATTGAGTTGGTTTATAGGAGAAAACCAAATGGATTTATTGATATTTGAAGGTTTGAGTTGAATCCAAAATTTTCGGGCTCAATATCAAATTAATAGTTGATTTGAAACAATTTGGATTATTTTTCATTAAGCAAAAATGTGTAGTTAAAATTTCAATGTAAATTCTGACATTGGGATTTGCTGTTAGTCAAAGCAACAACACACCCAGATTACCTTAGAGCATATGAAAAATTTAAAATATTAAACTAATCTACTTCTAACTCTCTGTAAAAAGAAATTATACATGATTATGTGTTATACTTGAGATATTTGCTGCCACTTACACCTTATATTTACAGAAAAATAAACAATTTTAACCATAGTACTAAATACATGTCTTGCATTCATTTGCTTGGTGTAAATGAGTAAATTTTTTCCCAATGACCATTTTGGTCAGCGAGTCGAGTCATTTCATTAATTTATCTAAAAACACAACATATATCCTAAGAACTCCCCAAAGACTTCTTGCCATTCCTAGTTATTATCTTACATACAAAACATCACAAAAGCAACACGAAAGATTGCCAATTGGAAAAAATGCAGCTTTAACTTCTTTCTCCAGCTTCTGCTTCACTGTCCAGTTTTTCCTCTTCTCCAGATTTGTGTCACAAACTCAGAAAACATTCAAGAATCATCAAGTTACGCGAGAACTATTTAACGTCTTTTCTTTCTTGCCTTGGTTGTCATTTACATTGGCTGGTGGAAAGCAGATGGATGTCATCTTCTCTCAGGTTGCCAGAACTTGCAAAGACCTTTGAGTCCTACAAATCACCTTTCACATCACTCTAAAATTTGGACCAACTCTGAGTCGATCAATCAAATGGGAAAACACCTTTCCTCTTCCGCTTTCTCTCCACTCCTGCTCCAGTGGCTTCCATTCCGGGTTCATTTCATGCCGAACACGTCTCAATATGGTATGCATCTCATTAGAATCTGAATAGGTAGAAAGCTTCCATAATTGCATCTTACTTCCTTTAGCATGCCACAGAGTAATTGAATAAAATATATCCACACAAAACCAAGTATTTATGAAGAGAGAGGGACATGAACAAAATTAACTTACAGTTGAAACTACTACCAGAAGAGCAAATGACATTTTTGGAATTTCATTTTGGGCTTCAGTTTAAATGCTTGACCTCAGGTTGAGAAAAGCCAGTCCAAAATCATTTGAATTTCACGATACAATGTATGCGCCATCCTACATGTTGAGACAAGCACATCAGTGAAGCAGGAGAATGACTTCTTGAATACAGATGGAACATTTTAAAAAACTCAAATCTTAGATTGCACATACTTCATTGATTGTAAATTTGTCTGATAACTTCAAGGATGGCAACAGCCATTCCGATAAATAGATGGGCTTCTTTTGATATTTACTATCATCTGCAGAATAATGACAAAGCCAATTCTTTTTATCCATGATAAGAGCAAGAAATGGTCTTGGCCTAAATGATTTTTGAGCCATACCTGAAGGGCGCACAAGTATTCTGTGTGAAACAAAGGACTGCAACAACCAGAAAAGATTATTAAGGTTAATAAACCCCTTAAAGTCCAATGTTCAATTGAAGAAAAACAGTTATATAAATGTGGAATTCCTGTCAAATCTCCCACATTCTTTTATATATAGATGATTGGGTGTCGTTTGTAGAAAACCATATCTTTTTGTAGGTTTTCTACTTTTTGGGTGTATTTCTTGTATATGGGTGCCTCTTTATGCCCATGTTGTTAATAAGATTGTAACTTAAAAAAATGAACCTGGGATTCCTGTCAAAGGCTGCAACGACAAGGCATAGAGGGAGAGGTCACAAGCATCTATACCTTAAAATCGATTTTCGACGGAATGAAAAAGCATCTATTTATGGAGCACTAATTTCAGAAGCTCATGATTCCTGATGTTTAAGGTCAAAACATAAAAGGGAAAATACACCAAGTACTCAGACATTCTTCAACAAGAGAAATACACATGTTCTTCCACGCTTATTTTTTGTAAAAGCATTTCATAAACAAAAACTTTCCCAGCATAAAAAGTCTGTGTCTGACTTCATCCAAAAAGCTGCAATGAATGAATTATCAAACTAAATTTGCTGCTCCCTGAATCAACATACCATGCATTAACATTTTTTTTGATGTTCAACCAGAGAGGTGTTATGAAAATTTGCCACTACTCCTGTATAGCTATAGTGCCTTTCTGTTACCTATTTCTCATCTATACATCACAGTCCACACTTAATTCATACCAGGAGAAAGGGAACTTACTGACACTCTCATTCATAAATTATGTCCGACTTTCCAAACATTCAAGGTCTATAATGGAAGATTTCCAATTCCATCTGATTCGTAATAAACCACCACTTGCAAGAACCACCAATTTCGGCAGAAACTCCACCATTCTTTGATTGTTTCTGTTTTAGTTTCTGGATTTTGTTCCTTTAGCACAACATTTTCAATATAATAGTCTTTCCATCCGACAATATATTTGCAAGATATTAACACTGAAATATTTCCACCCTATGTTATATTTGCAAGAAATTAACACGACACACATTCAGAGCTGTGAAGAGCCCCACATTGTCCCTTTAAGGGATGATTGGTCTCTTTATTACGGCTTGGGCAATCCTCAGCTTGAGGTTGAGTTAGACCCAAAATCCATTTCTTTACATGGTATCAGAGCAAGACCTATTCCATTTCTCATTTCTGATGTTGGGCCCCATACCAAAATGTCCACGCACCAAATGTCCAGCCGTGGGTATGAGAGATGTGTGAAGAGTCCCACATCGTCCCATTTCTTTTCAAGTATTAGCAAGGGGAAAAGTGGAAAAAAATTGGCCCCAACGTATATTGGGTCTGCTATATGAATCCTTACTATATCCATTTCAGTTGAGAACCCATTCCATCCCAAAATTCAAAAACATGGCCCTTTTGAGTTCTCTTGTGTTTCCATTGACATGCAAAATTGTTTTTAAGAAAAAAAACTAAAAGATTCCTAGCAAATATTGAATCTAATATATTTCGCCTATATGAATTTTTTACTTCCATTATGTTCTTTATTTTGCTAAATTGATTTTAGGTCCACATTGTCTTCCAACACTTCAATCATGATGGTTCGTCCTCCACTTTTCTCAGTTCATCTCTCTTAACAAATCACTATAACTTTAAAAAGAAATAGTTTATTATAATGCTTAGCCTAAACAAGATGCCCAACAAATGATTTTTTTAGATAGGAAAATATATCCATAAATCATCCCTAGAATTTAGCTAGAACATTTAAAGTCTTGCATTCTTAGGTTGCTATGCTATATGAAACACAATGGATCCTTACTCTCTTTAACTAAAAACGAAGAACACCAAAAAAACAAAAGAATATGCTGGCTATACACAAGATTTTCATATATAATATGGTTACCTGCCATACTGAAGGCATATACTCCCGATACAGTTGAGCATTAGTACTACTCCTAATGGTCCTTGAGTCCAAGTTACTCTCAATAGACAACTGCCCTGTACTCCTGTTTTGAGTGGTTGCAAATTAGAAAACGATGAAAGTGAAAAGAGAACTATTTGTATGATTTAGCAGCTTAAAATCGTCAAGAAATGATCTATGGAACAACTGAACAGTTCCATAAATATGGTATACAAAATGATCCTAAATTGATACTTTCAAAGGTGGACAAGCTAGTAACCACTATTGATGATCAAACAGATAAAGTCCTGTACATGTTACGTTACTTGAATAGTTTAAAAATTAGTCAATCAGAACACAAACTGTCCAAAGCAATGAGCGCAGAATATGGAATTAAACCAGGGCACATTTACAGACAGACAGCACATATTGAGCTTTAATTTTTCCACCACATTCTATACACAGGATACTTATCTGGTCATTTGTAACCAGATTTTAGTAATGTGCAATACAAGATTTATTTTGGAATTTGGACAAAGGAAATGAACTGAATCCAACCTAATAACTTCGCGAGATGTAAATTTATCCCGTAAACTTGCTGCTTTTGTAGTTAGAACAAGCATCGGATGCACCACAAGAATCTTCTGGATCTCTTGAATGGCAATGTCTGACACACTTTGCAAAGACAGACTTCTCCTGGTAATAAGTCAAATACGTAATGCTAAAATACTCAATTTGAGAATAAGAAGCAAAAAAGAATGGTGCAACCTATACAGAAAGCAAAGGAACATACTGAATCCTTTTCTCTCCCAAGAACCAAACCAAGTGTTAACATGAGGAGTGCTAGGTGAAAAACATGAACAGATGAAAGCAAACAGAACGAAACTCGTAACCATATATATAGTACTTGATTAGATGACATGTGAGGTTACCAAAACCACAACCTGCACCATCCCAACCTCCAGGAGAAAGAAGAAAAATAAATGACAACTGAACAACAGTGGTTTATTCAAAATGGTGGCGCTAAACAACAAAAACAAAGAAAAAGACAATTGAACTGCAACCTTCATTATAGGAATAAAGTTACACCTCTAAAAGACTACATTTATGTGCTCATGCCTGCAGAAAAAATGCTCTTAAGAAGCACCACTTTCAAACTGATAAAGTCTATATTTCAAAACTTTTAAGCACTCTCCAAGAGCTGAGACAGGTTTCCAAGAACTATTTATCTTACATGTGAATTTAGTATAACACATGCAGCATTTTAGTATGACCAAGAACAGGTTCATCAGTTAAGATGAATCCGAGTACTTTCCCAGCTCATCCAAGGAAAAAAAAAAGATCCATAGAGAGTAGAATGCAAATATCTTAAGCAAAACAATTGCATTTCTAATCACCTACTTACAATGTTTGACAGAAAATGGTCACTTTCCAGCTAATAAATAGGTAGCAGAAACTGCAGGCTTTCTTAACACCACAAAAATGCTACAAACTAAGGTGCTTGCAGGAAGTATTTGGAGATAAACTAACTTTCAGGGTTCTCCATAACTCCTCTGTTTGCTCTTTGAACTGCATTTTTCACTTATTTTCTCTCTTTACAAATGTAAGATATTATTGTGGACTCTAACCTGTTGTTGCTCCCTGGTGGTATAGATGGTGAAGCACGATCCATCCAATAAAAAGCTCCAATACTGGTCATACAAGAGAAACAACATATCTTAATAAACTACAGAACTTAGTTACACCATCAAGGAATATCAAAAGAAAAAGGAAAAAACCAAAGGAAACAAAGGGAAGAGGAACATAGATGGAACGTTTGAACACAGATCTGATGACCTAACAGATAATCGCTAAATGGGTAGTAATTATGAAGTACAATCCTAATGCCTGAACAATGATCTGGTGAATAACAGAGAACAACCAGTAGTCCTTGCAACCTACATGACAAATCTAGTCAATAAAAAAATCTAGTCCAAGTGGAAACAGGAATTGATTATAGCCCCCACCCCACAGAGCATGCCAAAGAATCGGACAAGGAATTAATGATAAAAATGGAAGATAACACATAAGCTTTTTCCCATAACAAGACACGTTTTGATAAATTAGTTGTGTCCTTCCTTGGACATTCCCCTGATAAAGAAAAAGGTCACTTTGAAAGACTATCATACTGTAGTACCATAGGATTGGCTGTTTTAACATGGCCACATGAATAAATCGGCAAACTGCCTAACAGCAAAGATAAGTCAAGAATAATGCCTTATCATGAATTGTTTGATTTATCTATCTATATACTCCTAGGAATACTTCTATTCTGTAGGTTGAATGATACTACTGTTAAAACTTCAAGTGTCTCTTTATTATTTGTATGAAACTAAACAAACATCAAGAAAAGCATTATAAGGAACCTGTCAATCATAAGCAAATAAACACCACTGCCATGTGCTTCTTTTTCCTTTTGAAGTTGGAAATGCAACGTCTGCAACAAAACGAGATTGAAAGAATAGGTGACATACTTGAATATAAATTGAATTATTTATATTCAAAAAAAAAAAAAAGTATCTCACAAACTAATCCAATCAAAAGAATACATTGTAGAAATACACAAAATGATAAATAAAAATAAACTAACAACATATATTCACAGTGAGAAGTGTTGGATTATGTCAAATTACACGACCAGCTTGTCTAAAAGTTTAAAATGTTGAAAGGATACACTTCTTTTTACCTAATCATATCTTTAACACCCCCTATTCTTTAGGGCGAGTCAAGCACATCGACATCTTTTTAGAAATGATGGGGGTGAAGCTTAAACTCAAGATTAATGTTGACCTATGTCAAACTCTGATAACATGTTTTAAAAAAATTGGACATTGAGCCTTATGCAGCTCCAAAAATTAGAGCATGAGGCAGATTGTCAAAACCACATAACCAGACTACATCTCATATTCTTAACTATGGAGCTCAACATTGCCAAGCCTCCTTAATATGCAATTGTTAACATTCCAACCCCAACTCCCTATCTTCAGGATATTTCATATATATACATCTAAGATAATGACATTTATCATCCTCAAACGAAACTAGCTCACAAATCTACGATAAATGGAAAGGGGGTACAAGTTTCTATTTTTACACCAATATATTTTGACAAGACAATGTCAATGTAGAACCATCTCAACCGCTATCAAACATTCAGTCACTTTATTTACATCACTACCTTCAAAGAGATTGCAGACATGGTCTTGAGTGTTGGTTCTAACAATAATATTAAAAAAAAGGTCTACCAAAGCATTAACAAGGTTGAAGGAACAAAAGCTATACTTTATTGACGGGAGAGATAGACTTAATAAAAGAGAGAAAAGATAGGTAGGAAAGCAAAAAATAGATAAAATGAGGAAGTTAAAACCTAAGTACTCATTCTAACTCACCTTAAGAGTAGCAAGAAATTCAAAACTATCATAACAGCGGATGTACAAGAACCTTCTCATGCTGACAGCGAACAATTCTTTGTCATATTCTGTGTGTGCATCCTTTGATCCACTAGGAGAATTATCCACCTTATTTAGCTTGTGGCCTATGCCATTGCCTGATTAGACAAAATAAACCAAATACTACTTGCATCAAATGTATGAGGCCATAAACATATTTAATTACTAGTTTCTCTACTGTAATGAACATGTGTGTGTGTGTGTGTGTGTGTATTCTTCATATGTGGAAGGGCCAGTTATGGCGAAATGGGGCAAAGTTATCCCTTTGGAGACAATAAGTCGTGGTTAGAGGATAAGCCCCTATCCTGCTTCATTTGCACCTATCCTCGCTAAGCATCGAGCTTGTCACTTGAATTACACTTTATAATTTGCACTACAGGCTATCAGAATTTGGAATTTTTTCTTTTGATAACCAAGAAATCCCCAAGGGCTAGTGGAAATTCAGTGGACATCATAATTTGGAACCTTTATAATTCTAACCCTTGCACAACAGTTTTTTCTACTTTTTAGTTTCTCATTTGAAAATGTCAAAAAGATATTGGTTATTAGTGAAACGCCAACCTCTACAATCAAGGGAGCATAGCTCTCAACTCTTACCAAATTTTAAGTGATACCTATGTGCTTCATTTATGTTTTTTCCTGTTGAAAAGTCCATGAAATGTCATGAATGTGCACCAAGATGATGTCAAACTATATGGATAAAAGTGTTCAGTGTTTAACTCTAAAAATCTATCAACTATCTACAGATAAAAGGATCTTGAAAACAGAGTTGTCGATCTTCCACATGGGTCTGTCAACTCCTTCAAACGTCCTGTTTCATTCTCTACACATCATCCAGTAGATGCATAACGATGACATATTCCAAAACCTCATTTCTTTCCTTTCCTTCTGTATTCTGCTCAACCTCCATGTTCTGAGAGCATCAACAACTGTTAAAGGAGTGCCCATTATATATTAAATATGGAATACACCATACTAAAAAGATCCATGACATAGAAAAAAATAAGAACCTAATGTTTAGAGTCCTTCCTTCCTTTCTTGCGCTTACAATACCTACACGTTATTATACAACTCTACTCCCAATCCTGTGTTACATCTATCTTATCATGATTTCAAATCTTCTGTGCAGTCACTGAATTTTAAACTTTTTTTCCAATAAATATTAATCTATAGAGCTTAGAGTTAAATAGCTAACCTGACACCTCTGACATTGAAAACTCTTATCTATCTAAGTTACTCAAATTGAAATCTGTGAGCATTCAGAAGATGCTCACAAAAGCAAACAGAAGACGGCAGCTCAGTTCCTTAAACTATTCTGCATTTTCCATTGGGTATGCTTCTTCAATTGCAGTATAATGAATGGCATCATTTTTCTGATGGACAATAAAGAATTTCGATCATTCCAACACCAAAATCAAACATATCCATTTACTTCAACCAGCTTGTCAATATTGTAAGTTTGCAACATCAAGAACGACATTTTCAAATAATTACCTAGTTCATTAAGCTCAATATTCAGTTACAACGAATCAATTAACAGCAACCATGAGTTCAGTTCTTTCTTGTTAGAGCGCTTAGACAGTTCTTTCCTCCACTTATCAGAACACCCTTGTATAAAAATGCAATATTATGATAGACTACACAAAGTCACAAAGCATATCAACAGTATTGCAAAACCAAAAAACATAGTGTGCAATCGCTATTAAAAACTCATGTTAACTCAGGTAAAACTGAGAAAATTAAGTCAACTCTCAATTTATAAACAGAATGGTTACTGAGCCTTTCTTGAAAATGCTTTTCTTGAGCCAAGTGTCTATCGATAACCGCCTCTCCACCTCTCACAAGGTAGGGCCGTAGTGGTAAGGTTTGTGTACACCCCACTTGTGGAATCACACTGGGTATGTTGTTGTTGTTGAATGGTTACTGACTTTTACTAACACCCAACTGGCTCATCAATTCAAAACAAGTATTGGATTGATCGACTCAACACACGAACATGTTATATTTTAAGTGCTATTTCAAAAATTGATTCTAAAATCAAAATATGTTATTGCAATATTACTATGGCTATTATTATTATAGCAGTTTATGTAATTAGGAAACTAGACAATTAAGCAGTACAAAGGACTACACAAAAGTTCTTTCAATAATGGATGATGAGAGATCATTCACAAAAAAAAAAAAAAATCTCAGAAATGGATAATGAGAGATGTACGGAATCTTCAAGGGTGATGAATCTTTTAATTTAATTCAACTGAATTGCTGATCAGCAGTCTCTGACTGTCAACAAAAACTTTCGAAGTGGTAGAGGATTCATTGTTGCAAGAGTTGACTTTTTGTCTACTTTTTATACATAGATGATTGGCAACATTTTTGGGAGGCTTACTGTGTGTTTTTAATACATTATGTAAAAACAACAACCAATTTGGTGTAATATCAATAAATACTTTGATTAATTGAAAAATGAAAACAAAAAGGAAGTCTTTTTTGTTAGTAACAAAAGATAGTTTTGAAACCATATTACCATATCAACAATATGGTTCCAGGAAAACACAAATTAGTCATAAATTTCCAGCAATTGACTAAACTATAAAATTAGAGCCTCCATATTCTAAACAACATGAAATTCCAAAATACAAAATAAACAAGCTCAAGAATAAATATCTACCATTTGCTCGAATGATCCGCTGCTTCAGTAATCGTGAAAGGCTTAACACATCAAAACGACAATCCAGGTCAACAAACATAACTAATCGCTCCAAGCCTCCATAGTTTACACCCTTCCACTCCTTAGGCAAAATACAATTAATAGCAGCCTAGCATGTACCAAAAAGAATCACATTAAGCTAATTATTTGAGAGACATAATATATGTGATACCATCTAGTTGGGATTAATGCTTTTGTAATATTCTTAAAAAATCTACAGTAACAAATTTTATATTTGCCAGGACTCTTTTTAATCAAGTTAGGGACTTGTATGTCCATCGAGAGTATGAATATGTGTGGAGTTCCGAGACCTTATTTGCAAGATAAAATATTTCCCTCTGCTCATGAAATATTATTTCATTATTTGGAAATACTCAGTTTGGTCTTTGTCATTTTGGGGGACTTCAACTGAAAATTGAAATAGCGGTATGAATGTGTATTTCAAGTGAAGTTTTTCAAATCTTCAATTCCCATCCCTAAATCTTTTCCACAACTAGGACTTCCATACACTTTTCTCAAATTCAACTTCAAATAATCTTCTTCCAGATTTAACTGATAAGTACCTAAATTCCTCGTTAGTATTGGTATGAAATAGACCCATAATATTAGTATTTTTTGATAACCATGGTGTCCAAATAAGCTTTCATGCACCTTGTCTAATTCCACGGGATACATGTCACCTCCCACTCCCACTAGAGACAACTACTAGGTAATTTTATCCGCCGAGACTAAGATAGATAGGAAAAAATGAATTTGAACCTACGACCTCCTGGTTCTCAGCTCACTTCATTGACCACTAGGCCACACCCATGGGTGCTGAAATAGACCCATATGGAGCAAAATGGTCGCATAGAATCCGTACTTCTAAAACATCCGACCCTAACCAGTCAGGTAATTGATTAATATTGGTAACACTACAAAATGTGAGAGTCCACAAAGCAAAAGAAAATGGTCAAAAATGCACCTAAAGTATACCAATTTTTCTAGTTTCATACCTAAACTATCAGGTTTGTGCATTTCCTACCTAAACTATAACCAATTATTTATCAAAATACATCTCAACTATCAATTGTTTATTTTTCCTACCCAAACAATGAGATATTTCAGTTTATGAAATTCACACACCTATTAGTTGAATTGTGTTTTAATAAACCGTTAGTGATAGTTTAAATAGAAACTTCACACACTTGATAGCTCATTCAGATATGAAACTCAAAAAACTGAATACGTTAAGAGTGTTTTTGACCATTAACTCTGCCTATATGCACATTAAATCAGTGATTCAATATTATGGATTCGCATCTATAAAATGTAGCTGAACAGAAATGAAGAAGTAGAAGTAATAAATAGTGTTTTATTTAACGGTACTTACCTGCATAAGAATGCGAGTTTTTGAAGAAGGAGAAGGACCGACGATTTCTACAACATTGCCGGGACGGAGAGGAATGCGATGAAGAGGTGGAGGTAATGGTAGAAAAGGCCGCTCTGAGAAAACCCTAGTGAGAAATTGCTTCGCCGTTTCGTCTGGTTCAATCCATTCTCTCGCCGACGACGCCATTTCTACTCTTCCTCAGTTGCTCGGAGCTGAAAACGGAGAAGGAAGATGTGAACCAGCTCTACAAGACTAAAAAAGATTTTTTTTAAAATAAAATTAATAAGTCTTTTTTATTAGAAATAATAATTTTACATATTATGAAACTTTCATTTTATTTTTTAACTTATAAATGGTTATAAAAGATCCTTTTTTTAAAATTATTTCACTTTGTTTTTTTAATTTAAAAGGTGTGTAAAAGTTAGGATAAAAAAAATGCTCCCTTGATTTCATATTATTATATATTCACATTACATAGATGCACGGTGAGGAGATACAAGAGGTTGGTCATATAGGTACAATAGAGACAAAGGTAGGCTGAAAAAGTATTGAAGAGATGTGATTAAATAGGATATGACTTAATTTCATGTTATCGAGGGTATGACCTTAGATAAGAGAGTGTGAATAACGACACGTATTAAGGTAGAAGGTTAGTGCCTAAATTTGCTGCATTTGAAATTTTGAATCGAGTGTCTTTTGAAAATAGTCTCTCAACCTCCACGGATTAGTAATAAGATCTGTGTATATATTACCCTCTCTAGATTGATTATGTTGTTATTGTTATCGTATGTATCTACATCACTAAAAGTATTTGTTTCAAATTATTTGTTAATTTATCAAAATTAAAACAAAAAAAATCTTAAAAGAATTGTTTTGCCCTTAAAGTTAATTCAAAAATATAAATATTGTAAAGTCTAAAAAAAAAGTTAATCCATTTATTGGTCTTAGTATTGATAGATAGGGTACATAAATAAAGTATATTAAAAAGAGTTAAAAGGGGAAAATAGTAAAAATGTCTTTCTTATTTATGATTTCTTAGAAGGTGTGTGTAAAAAAAAAAGTGGATATAAGTAAATATAAAACAAATGAGGTAATTTATTTGACTCGTAAAATCTAGACGCATGATGCTATCACATAAATTGAGATAGAAAAAAATACTTATAAAGTATTTTCAAATGGAAAAATATCTAATTACTCCTTTGGTTCAAAATATTTGTCATAATTCGCTTTCCGAGAGTTCATTAACTAATTAATTTTTAGAACTAAATTGAATAGTATTTTGAGATTGAAAAATCTCTTTTTATTTAGATTCACACCTAAAACTTACACATAAAAGTTTACAATGCTTTCACTAGGGGAGACTATAATCTTTCAGCTACGAATTCATAACTATTATATCAGACTTGAACCTATAATTTTAACATTACAACAACCTCTCTACTAAAAATCTTAAAAATTGCAAACGTATTAAACTTAAATTCTGAATCCGCGTCTAAATTTCACTTGTGACATATTCTAGCAGTTGGCATTGTGACACAAATAGGTGCATACTTTTTCTTTGCCTCAAGTGTCCCTGCCTTTTGGTTCCTCAGCTATAACAACACTTGCAAATGAACTTGTAGCTACTATTGCCATTAATATGGCAAAAGCCAATTCCCTCCTTGATCCATTGCTCTTTTTTTCCTCCTTTTTTGTCACAATTTTTTCATCCTTATTAAAGACATTAACTTTTAACACTCTTCTCTTATTGCTTTTTGAATGCGCGGAAAGGGGGGAAAGCCCTTCGTTCCTTGTTCTTCTGTAGTTGAATCCTCCGATATGGACTAGAAATGAAGATGACATAAGTAAATAAGCCATTAGTGTATAGTTTTTGTGACCTTTTTTTTTTTGTAGTTGGCACAATATTGTTGTAATGGTTGATAATTATATTTTTGTGTTATATAAAGTTGCATATGAATTGTGCTAGAAATATCCATTTGATCAATCAAAATTCTTATGTATAAATTTTGTGGTGTCAAGTAATTAAACTTGTGGATATGATTGGATTCTTGATTCATCTTTTGTATGAATTGTGCTAGAAGAATCCATTTGAATCAAAAACCTTATCTTTTATAGTAATTTTAAATTGTTTGTATGTTCTAGTTATGGTGTAGGACTATAATAATATATATAAAAGCCCTAGGTTTCAGCTCACATTTATGTCCTTTGATTTTGGATATATACAACTAAATACATAAATTTGTATAAAGTTGAACAAATAGATACGCACGTCCTACAAGGCATAATATATGTAGGATTTCATGTAGGATGTGAATTGTTACGTAAGACGTCATGTTAGATGTATGTATCTACTAATTCAATTTTGGATGATTTAAGTAGGTATCTATTTAGGCACACCCAAAATTAGAAGAAATAGATAACAGAGACCAAGTTGAAAGACACATTTATATGTTACTAGTCTCTAGGTACGTGCATTGCACGCGTATCCAAGCAAGGACTAATTCATGTTATGGTTTCCGACACTTCCAATATTGAGCATAAATTTATGTGTAAAAAATCACTAAATTGCAACAAATAGTCGACATGAACCATGAGTCATTTAGTACAAAACTGAACACATAAAATATGATTTTTAGACATTAATAATAGAAACAACAGTGAGAAAAATATATCAATAAATAGTCAGAAGTAAGATTTTCACTAAAAGGGGTTCAAAATATGAAGAACTAAACACACGAAGGTTCAACATATACTATATATACATAAAAAAAACTATTTAAACCATATATATAAATAGTGTAATTTTCCGTCAAAGAGGATTTGAATGAACCCTCTCGGCCTTACCTGACTCCCTCGATAAAACAGATGTGTCAAGAATGATGCTTTCAACTTCATCTCATATTAATTTCCGTTAAGATTGTGCTTTGTAATAACAATAAATATAAGTGAATAGATTCATTTTCTAATCAGTGTGGCTTGCATTTTCCTTAAACTTTTGTAACCCATAAAATTATTGTGCAAGATAACTCTTACAAATCTCTATGACTTCATTGCATTATATGTAAGCTTCTAAATAACTTTAGGAAATGACTGTTCAAATACATTTTATACTGTAACATATGAATCTAATCTATATTTATACATTAAAGGTAACTTTTCAAATTACTTATCTATTTTTTCAAATTAATTAAGGAAATCAATGCATTGATTTTGAAAGAATACATTATACATGCATTTGAATCTAGTCCATATTATTGAACCACACAAAGTAACCTTTCAGATTCTTAACCTTTTGAGAGTAACTAAGAAAATTAATGCATTATTTTTTAAAAGAATGAATTATATTAATTTAACACCTTCTCACATTTAGTATTTAGTATAATATAATATGATTAGCTACTTAATATTTAATTAATTAAATATTTTATAATATTATGATTGAATGTAAGGGTAAAATAGCAATCCAACTTTGCACTTAGTAATATATATATGATGATGATGATATGATATGATGATGATGATATATACATTGTTTTATGAGAAAAAACATAAAGGGACACCTGAAGTTGTTCTGAATTTTCAATAAGACACTTTAACTATACGGGTGTCTTATTACCCCACAAAAGTAGTGAATATCTTTGTAAATAGACCACTTTAACCCGTTTTCTCTCTATGTTTGTTTTCACGCAAATAATGCGCGTGAATGATATATATGTTTTTCTTCCAAAGAACGAATTAACAAGTGACACGTGCCAATTTTTTTTAATCTATTATTTAATTACTTCCTCTCCCCAACTTTCCCCAGTTCTTTCAAAGGATTCATTTTTGACGACAGGTGCTTTTACTTGATTTGGTCTCCTTGTTGCCTCTTGTTATGTTTGAAGATTTAAACTAAAGAAAAAAAATCTTCTTTTCTCTTTAATGAAGGTAAGATTCTAACACTTTTTATCTTAAAATAATTCCTAACATGTGTTTTCCTCCGGAAAATCACAAATCCATGAAGAAAAAAATATGATCTTTATCAAATACTAAATAAACATGAAAACCCTAACATGAAAATTTCTTGTTTGCTCAGCTAATCCCCCAAGAAATTGACCAACAAACGTCGAAATTGAAATAGATAATCTTCAACAGAAATTTAATTGAAGTGTATTTGAGAAAGAAAATAAAATAGGAAGAAAGAAAGTGAGAAATTGAGAGAAAAGAAAAGAAAGTGTACCATTTACCTTTTTGAAATGATTCGGGTCAGGTTAAACCCGTATTTTATTAATATTTAAATTAAATTAATTAATTAAAAGGAGAGTGTGCCTCACGCGTGTGAAGTTGATGAAAAAATGAGTCAAAATGGTCAATTTACAAAGATATTTAATACTTTTGTGGGGTAATATGACATTCGCATAGTTCAGGTGTCTTTTTAAAAATTCGAGACAACTTCAAGTGTCACTTTATGTCTTTTCTCTTGTTTTATCAATCTTAACTTTTCAAATTCTTCCGTTATAAGAATTATGATTATGATTAAAAGCAATATCAATGTACTCATTTATCAAGAAAGTAATAATTTAATTATTAAAGGGCTTAAGAACTTAAATTCTACCATTATGTAATTAAAATATTTGTATTTAATTAAATAATTAATCAAATTTTAATTTAGTAATATGATAAAATGGTAATTCAATTTTTCAATTTGGAGCTTCCCACTTATAATATATAAATATCCAAACTCAAATAATTGAGCTGTAAAACTTGGAATTCCATTTGGGAAAATAGATATTCTAGGAAACAAACTATATATATATATGATGCTTATATAAAAACTATTGAAAAATCAGTTCACTGAGTTTTCGTTATGCATGTGATTTGAGAAGAATCGGATCACATTATTTTTTTGTTGCCTACAAGAAAAAAAATTAGAACACCCCATGATTATTATTTTTTATATTCAAGTTAAATTTTCACTTCTATAGTCAAGGAATTCTATACCATTGGTTGACTTAGTCATCTTTTGTCATTATTTGGAGAAAGAAAATTTATTATACCAAATTAATTATTTGATATAACAATCAAAACAATAACGTGTGGAAAAAATGAGGCTCCAATATTAGAATATTCAACAAAATATTGGAAATTTGCTATTAATGATGAAGACAACTTAACAAATCAATTTTCTTGGTATTAATGAGTAATAGTAAATTAGTCAAGCTTTGTGTGGTTGG